TGAGAAAGTTATTGCGAGTTCAGTAATATTTAATTTGAAAATTAGCCTTTTGTGTTTTAATTTTCAAATGCTCAGCTTGGCACGATGCCACTTGTCCACGTCTCTGCCCCGGGGTGCAGTAATCCATCTGCAAGAATCAGCCCAATTTCGGCACATGCATTCTGGTGCTGCGCAAGTGTGATTTGCAGTTCGTATGGTTCTGCTGACTGTTACTACACCCTGCTGTACTTCTTTTACGATGGCTTAAGTAGTTGGGTTTTTTTTCCTAGCTTCCAAGATAATTAGGGAAATTAAACTCTAGAAATGGAGCATTGCCTTGGTAGAAGGTGAAGGGAGACAGACCCAACATATTGTATTTGGAGTCTTCCTTGGTATGCGCTGTGTGCATGCTGGGCAGGGCTAATTCTGTGCATACAAGACGATCAGGACAACATCTGTCCTTTGCAGTACTGCAGCAGAAACTTCCTACCAGAGAGATCAGAGTGATTTCCCTTTACATGCCATTTTTATTTGTAGGCAAGTTTCAAAGAGGTATCTATGTGGAGGCACATTTCTCATGTGTTACATTTTTTGGATGCTATTGATTGATGATATCTGTTTGCTGTTTTGGAAGGTTTATCTAAAACAGGGCCTTTATAAAAGCAATTATTTAAAATACATTACTGAAATTTTTCACTTGATAAAAACTTTAGGGCCTTTTTACCATTAGCAGTAACTGTATGAAGCATTTTAAGTGAAAAAAAACTTTTTTCACTGAATTTGCATCCAAAGCAATGATCTTAAATTATGGCCAAATAACAGCAATAATAAAACTTCAGAAAAAAAATTGTACTTGAACATCCTTAAGATTTTCAAACTTCATAAAAACAGGGGCTCATTTTTCAGGGATTTCCATGTAGATGAAGTTGGACACTCAGATGATGTCCTGTCTCTAAAAGTGACTGGTTTGAACCCAGATGACCTGAAGATGTGTAGGATAGGCAATGGCAGCGCTTCCCCACCAACCGCCTTGGACTATTTTGCCAGTCTTTTCTAGAAAGATCAAGAGAAAGGATGGAAACAGAGCTTTCTCTTTCTTCTACCAAGTAAGCAGTCAGGCCGGAGCCACTGTAAGGCTCCTTGCGGGTATGAAAAGGACTGGGAATATCACACTTCAAATAAGTTAGCACTACATTTAGTCACTGCTCGCGTAAGCTGAGTTTAGCTGGCAGCTGATCATCAGAGACGTCTGCATCCCACTGACGATCCTCTGAGATATAAACTGCTGCTACCCTATTTCAAGCTCTGCGTTTTAGTTCATGTGATAAAAGGAGTGCACCAAAATAACTTAGCAATAAGCCTGCTAGATGTGCAGAGTCACTGGTGGTGATGCTGATCCCTATGTTCCCTGTGCAAGACCACTGCTAAGGAAAAGGTACCTGGGAATTTTTTTTTAATAGTCTCGTGTAAAGGCTGCCTGGAGGGGCTTCAGAAGGAAGCTTCTGGAGGTTCATGGTCTGGACATGTGCGTGTGTAGTTGCCCTTGTTAATGGATTTGGGAGGTGATCCATGAAATTGGCCAGGAAACCTTTATGGTGGGATAAATGCTAGCTTTGATTAAATGAAATGAAGAAAATGAATTTTAAACAAGGGAGGTATGGTGCTGGCCAGCTGAGCCCCAAAATTTCTCAGCACTTAATTTAATGATGCATTTGTACTTTCAGGGTAAATGCAACTGGAACTGGTTCATCTCCCTTTCTGCTTTTGTTTCATTTATCACTGTTGGATTATTGGTTCTGTTTACTCATAACATAGTCCTTTTTTTTTTTTTTTTGGTGTAAAAACTTCCAGCTGCTGTGCTCAGCCTGAACTACAATTAGCATAGGGTAATAATGGAGCAATTAACTACAATTAACATGGAGTAATAATGAAGCAGGAGAAAAGAGTGCCTTGCCAAGGTGTTTTATAAAGAGCCCAACACTACACTCTTCACAACAGAATTGTTGCCCATATGCTGTACATACCAAGCCGTCTGCTGGTGTTACTAGCAGCTCTCTGAAATGCGACCCTCCTCCTGCGGCTTGTTGCTATTACAGCAAATGGTGCTTCCACATTAGTGTGCAGATATAATCTGATGAAAACCTCTTTCTGTCATGTATGAACGGCTACATCTACAGAGAAAAGGATTTCAAAACTGGAGCAGAGTTTCCTAAGCTGTGGTGTGGTCTCAAGCTGTCGAAAGTGGTGTCCCACCTCCTCTCTCTTTCAGCCAGGGAAAAAAATGTTTCTTTTCACTGCTGTGTGCCAAAAATGCTTCGAAATCTCCTGCTGGAACCCACTAATTTTGAATATTGGGTAGCTAGAGTTATTTCAGCTTTTCTACTAGAAAGGAGAAGTGAAAAGGGTTGGAAAAATCTCAAAAGGCTTTTTAGCAGGGAGAGGTTATTTTCAGCTGTCTCTTTCCTTCCTGGTGAATAAATACCTCTTGACTCAAAACTTTAAAATTTAGTAAAGAAGCTGAAGAATGCACAGAAGAAAAGTGTTTTCACTTAACTAAGGCTGCAGGGGCCCTCCCAAAGAGAAACTGCCGCTGTTTTCCTCCATCTTTTGTGCACCTCCTGCAAATCTAAACAAAGGTAACAGGAATAATAAGGAAGAGAAGTCCTTTACAGGAATCCCACCATGAGAGGTCAATGGAAATTCCCTCTTCCTGAGCAAAGCTGTTTGCTTGTTCTGTTTGCTTTAAGTTAAATGTTTAAATAGCAACATTACATCGGGGTGTGTGCTCCTTGAGATATGAGACCCAGCCTTTGCATACCTATAAGAAAGTGTTTTTCCTCTTACTCCTAAAAGCAGGTCAGTTGTTTGATGCCACTGGGAACAAATAACCTTTTTGAGAAATTAAAAAATAAAAGATGTTATGGAAACAGGATTGATGAGGAGATGCCATGGGATTTACATCATCACATTATCTAGTTAACAAGTACAATCTTTTTGAGGATGGGATATTGGGAAGTTTTTTTGGATCAAGCACCAACTTGCTAGGTAAATATTTCCATTTTTTCACCTCCAACATTTGGATTGTTACTTTTATTCTATTTTATAGACTGCTTTCATAGAAATTTTCACAGTTACTTGACATTTTTCATCTCCTCCAATGCTCTGTTTATTACTGTAAGCATGATTACAGCTTGGTACCTCATATTTGCAGGTTAACAACTGTGATTAAACTGATACAACAGCTAAGCCTTTGGCTCCGATTTGAGCCTAAACCACTCAATTGTTGTGCCACCAGCACACACAGGTATTCATTGCCTTAATTTGAAGCACATCAGTGGCCGTCTGCAAGAGAATTCAGGCACATCCATGATCTGCTTGTATTGGCAGTATGAACAAGTGGCTCAGGTGTGAGCTGGAACCTGAAGACAACTAGCAAGTATGATATGATGGATGTGGCCTCTGACAAGTAGGAGACCTGTCCATCTCCAAGAGTTGCCGTCAAGAACTTGTGAACAGGTCTGTGGAGCAGGATTTTCAATGAAGTTTCTGTTTGTTCTCCCCCCCCGCCCCCGAGAGAGGAGAGGTCTTGGGCTCGAGCGCTAATGACAATGAACACGGCAGTCCACACCTGGATCCATTTAAGGGGCTCTGAAACTTTGCCCCAAAACATTTGCAACAAAATAGTCTGTCTGCCATGGTGTCAGCCTGGCCCACACACATCGAGGGTATTTATGAACGAATAGAAAACACAGGAAGAGCTGAGTCATGCACTGAAATGTTGTTTCTGAAGAATAAAATTTTATTTTTTTCTGAAAAAACTGCATACACATTTTCAGATCTGTTCAACCTTCAAAATATGTCTTGATTTCCAAACAGCAATCTTTTAAGCATGCAGGACCCCACTGCAGCTTGATAAAGAAATTAAGAGGGCTTTTTTAATCCTATAACTGTGCAAACATAATTTGGAAGCTATTTACATTTTGCACCTCTCACTTCTAGTAACAGTAGCATCAGCTGTTAGATACATGCACTGTATAGCTATAACTTATGATTTGGCATTGACATTTGATTTAGGTGTAGAGTGAAAACCAAACAAACCTTCCATTGTTCAAGAAACTCCCCACAGGCAATTAAAATAAATCTAATTTCTTCTTTATAAAGGAGATCTCTTTAAGCCCTCAGACTTCCCTGCAGTTATTAAAATATTACTTCCATTCTATTTTCTGGATCATCTTCCTCTGGTGCAGACATGCACTTTGCTTGCCTTGGTGAATGGGAGCACAAAGAAAAGATGTCTCAGTTTTTGTCAAAGAAGGCAGGACTACACTGAAACAGAGCCAGTTCTGTTTCGTTCTGTCATTTTCAGTAAACTGCAAGATTACCTATAGTATGGGTTTTTTTTACTATCTTAGACCATCTAAACTCAGATGCCGCAACTTAAATGCAAAAAGTTGGATTCAAGTTCATACTCCTGTTACTTTCTCTGATAATTTCCTTTCCCATCCATTAAAAAGCAGAAGTCAGTAACAAGCCAGATACTAGTTAGTACTCAAATCATGCTGTATTTTACTCATCTCCTTACATTCTTTAACCTGGGTCAAAGAAGGCATGGTATGTTTCGCCGTTGCACTCTGTTGGCAGAACTTCTTTGTGTATCGTGAGTGTAGTACCCCTCCTCACAGGCATCATAAACAGTCTTTGCTGTTTCATACACGCCAGTGTGATTAAATTAGGGTGCTGAAAGTGGGCGCCGGTTGAATATTATGTAAACGTGGCATTCCAGGTGATTTGTTTCATTATCACACAGCAAAAGCTGGCCTGTGTTTTATTTAACGGGGACTGCACAGCCAGCAGTCAGTGCTTTATTCTGGTTTTCAGCTATGGTAATTAAGCAAGCCATGTTTTGTAAGAGAAAATGGTATTTTCATAACTGTAAAACTGCTTCAGAATAAATACACAAAATTGAAGAAGACATTGCATTTCACAAGTTGCAAGAACTGCTGATCACTACTCAGGCAAGTTCAGTTCACAATGGAAACTGTGCTTTCGGGCTGGCTTCCGAAGATCTGGGAGAAGAACTCAAAAGCCAGGCGGACATGGATGGGGACGAAGACGTAAGCCGTGTACACCACCATAGCGAAAACAGTCACGGTGATGGTATGGAACATGGACCGCTCCCAGGGCTCCAGCACGTAGCTGCAGGTGATCAGTAGGTACTGGTAGTAGAGCCAATAAATATAGTCCTTCACACGCTTAATATCCATCTTCAGCTTTCAGTGATTTTGAGAAGATGACCTGTAACGATAAAAGAAGTCTGGATTACAGCTGCAGTGGAAAGAAAGACCTGGAACTAAAAAATGACACAGTGACCACCATTTCAAGTTTGGTGCCACATGTAATAGTTACATAAAATAAAGTTCAAACAGAAATAACGCATCGGTGCCATCACCGGCCTCTGCTGCCCTGGAGCAGAGGAAAACAATCTTTAGCTCTAGCAACTGCTGCTTGCAGTTATTGAAGCTCTATCAGTTGGGCACTCTCAATTCCTACATTCTGATTATGAATGTGTTTTGCTATTCATTCTGCAGTAGGAATTAAAACCGCATTAGCTTACAAAGGCACAGGGTTCACGTGGAAGTCAGGGAGAAATACATTTAAAAGGGAAGGCTTTGGGCCAGCTTCCATAAATGTGGATGGCAGAGTTGTATGGTCTGGAATAAAGATGAGGTTAAAAGAACCGCTCTCTAAAACTCCTCTGCTTACTTCTGATGATTTTTATTATTCTGCCATTGTTGGGAATAAAGAAAAGACAAGCTATGAAAGGGAGGGAAAAAAGTAATCTCAAATAGCCTAAGAATTTTTTTCAGCTCATTCCAAAGAAGTAAGATACATTACAGATTAAAAGAGTATTTAATGGAAGTTACAAGTCTAGGAAAGATTTTCCTCTCAGGTAATACATTTATGCATTCATTGTTCCCTCTCCACACAGAAAGGAGAACAGCTTGACCAAGTATTAACTAGGAAATGGGTTTTGCCTTCCACTGCTTTTTGTTAAAATTGCTTTTCAGTAATTTAAATAATCTTTAAATTCAGGCTAAAAACATCTACTTAAAGAAAATACAGAGACAGAATGATAAGCAACTGTACAAGGCTTCACAGAGGGACTCCTTTATTTTGGGGATTGGGTTTAAGGACACACATGCTGACCAGGTCAGCTCATAGTGAAAGGGAATACAGCAGATTTTAGTCCTGCTGAAAAACCTTCCAACGTATCATTTTGTTCTACACTTCTGTTGCCTAAAATGTCAGGAACAGAGATGCTTAGACATGTCACATCCCTCCAGTCTTGTGTTCATAGTGAGTTTGGGGCAACAGAAATTTTCTGTGTCTCAAGGCAACAAATACTAAAGTAGCACTGGAAAATTTGCAGCCTGTGATTAAAATAATGATGGACCACTGGTATAGGCCAAATATATTACAATATTCAGTGGTTTACTGCCTCTGGAGGCTGTACAGTATATTCTGGTGGTATGTGGGTATTTACCGAAGGGAAGACAAATTGCCATAAAAAGGATCCCTGGTTTGTTTTGTAACGGCTTTACTTTGGTTACTGATGTGTAACTTTTTTGTCCAGTGGATGCACTCTTAAGTGCACACACCTTGACGGATTGTATTTCTCCATCTTTCTTTCTTTAGGTCGCCGGTACTGCCAGTTGTTAAGGTTCAACATTCCTGTATTAAGTTGCAAACGGAGCATCCTGCCGGACTAGCTTACACCTCGCCATCTGGAGACGCTGTAAGGTAGATTTTTGCCTCTTCTTCTTTGGGAAGGCAACAACTATAGGCTCACCCTAAGCAGGGCAGACTGTCTGATTGAATTGGCACTCCAATTGCCTGTCCAATGCTGTTGATAAGGGAGCTGACTGTCTTTGCTCCCCCTCCTTCATCCATGTGCTGGCTTCTCTCCCGGTGTTTCTCCTCCCATCCCTCAGCTTCCTGTCCAGACCTCCTCGCATCTGTTCCCCGCTTGCTCCTCAACTCTCAACACCCTGATGAATGCAACCTCTTTGCTGGCAACAAGTGCAGTGAAACTGTAAACACCGTGCATTAAAAAAGGGAGGGAGGCTTGTTTGTGTTAGCAGATTTTTATGCAGAAAAATTTCCGTACTTGCCCCATCACCCACCCAGCCTTCACTTTCCACCAGCCCCTCTTCTTCTGTGTCCTCCAACCATCAGTACCTTCCCCAATATATCTTTTTTCCCCTCCTTCTCCAAAAGCAGTCCATTTCCTTCCCTTCCATCTTCCCTGTATCTCCTGGACTACATCTCCTAGACCAGGGGGCCACCCACAATGCTTTTGGGGGATAGATCACTTCCATTTTAAGTCTAGCAGTGACTGTCTTTGCTGTGAACAGCTTTACTTGCAAGGGTACAGGCTGGGGAGAAAGGCCACCACTGGTTTCTGTCCTTGTGTGAATGGAAGATGATGCCTTTCAGATAGATTATTTTAAAGCAGAACTCAAGAAAGGCCTTAAAGCCTTGTAAATATTGCAAAGCCTGTAATAAAAATGGCATGGCTGGCAAACTGTGACTCACTGGGAGCCAAAAGTATCTCTATTTATACCTTCTGCAAAAAGAGCAGCATTTTTCAATGAAGATGTTAAGCCCTTTCCTATACAATTGAAAGGAAAGTGATAAGGGCCCTCTCATACTATCTAGGATTATGGTATTTACACTGGGGTTATACCTGTGCTAGTTAAACTCATACCTTTCTTGGGTAAACATCTGTTAAGCCTGACTGCCGCATGGAGAAACTGCAAGGCTGGAACGCTTGCTGTGGGTGTTAAGGGTTATGAGGATGAGGGGTGCTGCAGTGGTTTTGAGGGGAGAGATCCCAGGCTAATGGAGCTTTCTGCCCACAGTGGCACATACACTTGTATATCTCAATACAGAGCTGGTATAAGAAAAAGCCAAAGACACGAAAAAATTCCCCAGGCTGATTTTACTGATATTAGACCAGTCTACCAGGCTGCAGACTCACCACTATCACTTACTAGACATTGGTCACCAAGTTCTAGCAGCCAGCCTGTGTTTCTTCAGTTCTTTCTGTTCACGGCACAGGGGGATAACCCCATCCCCAGGCACTCAGACAGACCTGTAATGGGACTCCCTGGACTACCAGCAAGAATGCAAGCTGTCTTAATGCAGAGGCTGCACGCTCTCCAAATGAAAGATAGAGATTGAGATAAGTAAAAGACAAACGGTCAAATTACAGTCTTTGTCCTCACCACTAACACACTTCCACTGCATTTAATCTACCGAGAGACTTTCTCCGTTAGCAGGACTGTCTTGAAAATGCAGCAAACATGAGGGCATCTTGGGATCATGCAATTCTAGATGCATAATTTATAAAAGGAAAATAGGAGGGAAGGAAAATAAGCCATCTTAAACCAGCTGCTCAGTCAATGAGATACAAGAATCCACTCTGTTACTGTGCCATAGATACCTTTTCTGAAGGTAGCCCATTTGCATTTATTCAGAGATAGTTTTAAGCATAAGCAATAGCCCAAAGCTCCACACCTCCAGAGGTCTCAAGCAGCCTTACCACCAGGCCAATTACCTTGTAGCAATGATCAAAGGGAATGGCAGATGACTAGACAAACAGAAACTCTTGAGGCTAAAAATTCTCCATTTTAAACAGGACTTGTCCTAGAGAGGCTTCCACTTATATTTTTAAGCATTACTGGTTTTTATTACATTAATACCACAATCAGCTGGTGCTCTGAGTTGAAAGGGCCCTGTGTTATTAGCTCATCAGTTCCCAGTGTTCCAGAACAGGAGATAATTTGCTGTTATGCAGTTTTAACTTAGAGTTCATTTGTCTACAAATGTGAACTTAAGTATTCAGTTGTGTTGTGGAAATGCCTTCCTGTTTCGAGGCTATGGGACTGTTACAACCAGCTATGAATAAAATGAATAGAATTTAGCTTCTAAAGCCATTAAGCAATATTCAAATTATTTTCAGCAATTTCACCTCCAAGCAAAAAAAGCAAGAAGAGGAACCTGTAAAGCAGCTTTTATTGTTTTAAGTGGCAACCTGATTTTCTTGCTTGTTGACACATGTGTCTGATTAGGGCAGCTGAAAAGATAAATCATAAAAAAAAGAAAAATCCAGGTTTCATTTAACAGCATGCCTAATCTCAAAAATTTATTAATAACCTTAGTTCCCAGTGTTAGAGCTAGTGTTTGGAGTTGTAATCTGAAGATGCCAGTGTTAGGTACTTTACTATAGCATTTCTGCTTTGAGTGACAGGAGTTTGGGGGACTTTGTTCACACTAGCAGTCTGCAACTCGGACTGGTGGGCAGACAGCACCTGGCAAAATGCACCTGCTGGGAAATTCCTGTGGAAAGAAACATTCTTGCAGGGGAACTGGGATAGACTGGTTTCCAAAGAATGCTTGAAAAACACCTTACTCCCTCAGCAGGAGAGTTTGGTTGATGTGCTCAGAGAAAAAGGGTTTCCAACATATGTTCAGGTCTAGATGAGTTTATCTAGACCAGGGAAAAACAAACCCTGGAGCTGGAGATAGCCCCATAATCATTAAACAGGTGGTCTCTGATGCTTTGAATGTAAAGTAGGGCCAAGTGTTATAAACAAGGTAGGAGGGAAAACCAAGCAAACCATCAATCCATCCTCAAAATGCAAATATTTAATTGGCTAAAAATTGGCCATTTGCTAAATAATTGCTGTGTTGGCAGAAAAGCAAGAGCTGGTGGGTTTTGCAGAATCCTAAGGGACTGCACACACACTGAAGCTTAAGTAAAATCCTGCCGCGAGCCCCTAAGGCTTGTATTTGGTCTTGCGTGCAGGATACCTACAACATGCAGACTCCCAATGGCAAGTGTGACAAGACAAAGTGCAATAATTATTTTAAAGTTGTTGGATATGTAAATAGTTTCAGCTTTTAGAAGAGGAATGGGTAATCATCCCTCTTGGGTATTGAAATATATATCCTTTCTGCAAGTTATTTATCTGTAATTGTTCTTACTTATTTGTAACTTTATTGTGTTAAGTGGGCTTGTTCTGCTGTAAATGAGACAGAATGTCCTGACTTATCCAAGGCACCAGTCTTGTCCCTCTTAATGCTAACATAACTCTGAGATGAACCCATTGATTTTATGTAGATCAACATTTCTGTAAGTGCAAATGGAACTACAAAGGGATTCACATTTGGGAAGGCAACAACTATAGGCTCACCCTAGGCACGGCAGACTGTCTGACTGAATCGGCACTCCAATTGCCTGTCCAATGCTGTTGATAAGGGAGCTGACTGTCTTTGCTCCCCCTCTTTCGTCCATGTGCTGGCTTCTCCACCCTGCATTTTCTTCAATATGTTTTATTCAGTGACCACCAAGCATAGTGCATAAGGAGTGAAATACAGGTCCTGTGGACCAGTAACCAGGAAGAAATTTAGATGAGGCAGCAGTTAAAATTGTGCAGAGAATCCAAATGCCAGCATTTCCCAGGGACGCCGTCTCAGTCTGTTCCTCTATTGCATCTGTGCTGCTCAGATTCCCCAAACGCAGCATGGCCCCTGGCCTTACAGCATCAGCTCAGTCTAGAAAGCTGCCTATTACCTACTGACAAGCAGAACCCTCGGGTTACTGTAGTACTTACACATGGATGTTTAAATGTACCCTAAAGCTTGTTTTCACAGGGAAGTAATGCCAGAAAGAATGTGAAAGAGAACAGCAGCAATAAACCCAGCATAGCTCCCACTATGGACAATTATGCACCACTAAAAATGTCTTTACTTATAGATTTTAATAAATAACCCCCTTCCTCTAACTCTGGAGTAAAAATGCACAGCAGCAGCGAGGCCATCTCTTGTTTCTCTTCCTCAGCATTCATCTTCCTGAATCAGCAGCTCATCACACGCTTGGCCATACATTGCTGCCAGCTACTGTGCTACAGGAATTGTAAACTCTTCTTACGTACATGTTCTTGCCACCATCCGTGCAACACCAGAATGAAGTTCAGAGCTGGTAAAATTTTATTGCTGTACATGACTCACATTTTGCATGTGGGTGAACATGGTTTGACTGCGCCTATGGGTTTTTTTTTGAAAAAAAAAAAAAAAAATCTTCCAGGAGTGGAAAAATACTTCAGGAGTGAAAATGGTAAGGCAGAAAAGGCAATGACATTTTCAGCCATGTTTCTGCTTTACTTTGCTCAGAAGAAAGAGCTCCAGCAGCTTCCTGATCTGTCAAGACTAACCTTCCTTCCTGCTGACCTTACCGGTAGCATAGGTGCTATGTTTCTTTTAAATGGAAAAATCTACATAACGCATACAAGACCTAGGATTCTAGCAAATACCTTCCGCTGTTGACGAAAAGACTTCTTTTTACCTTTGGTACCTTCAAGCAAGGCAGCAAAACTCTCGCCGAGTGGCACTACAGGAGTGGCAATGCACAAAATCTGACCCAGGCTTCCTTGTCTCCAGTTCTGAACACAAACCTAGTCCTCAGGTGCACATCATGTGCGTGCTCCTTCAACAGCTCTTCAGTAATACTGTGGTCCCAAGCACTGGTTTGGTGCTGGAATTTAGCTGCGTCTGTAACTGGAGGAAATGGATTCTTGTCAGACTATCTCTCCACCTGGATTGCAGTACACCCAGATGATTTCTGAAATACTATTTGCTCCTTCACTCAAGTTAAGTACACAGATCAAGTGTATGATGGCCTACAATGTGAGAAGTGAGAAGTAATGTATATAAAAACTATATTAAAAATATATAAGATAAAAATATGCGATAAAAATATACAAGATAAAATATAGAAAACATATTTATTATATATATTATTATATATAAATAAATTTAATATAAAACTGTTGACTCTCAAGAAAGGAGAGGATGATCTGCAGCACCCATAGGGATCTCATTTGGAGAAAGGCTCCCAACCATTCAAGTAACAGCACAGCAGCCGAAAGCAGTTAGTGTCTAGACTGATTTCATGCCTTAAGTACTCCCTGAAAACTGTGGCCTGCCCCCAACAAACCAACATTAAAAAAAAAAAAAAAAAAAAAAAAAAAATCAACTCCCCCTAACTTTGAAGCCTGGCCGATTTATTTGCACACTCTTTCTCTACTGAGGCACAGAGGAAGTAGATGCAGCTTCTCTGTAACAAAAACATTCTTGGAGCAGCTCTGTCCCATTTTCTTCCAAAGCTAAATTAATTTTTCAAAGGATTTTCTGTTCTTCCCTCCTCTGGAGTTTCCTCAGTCATTTTCTTACATAACTAGCTTCTTCTTAACAATTTATGTACAAACCCCTTCCTTTCCAGCTTCCTCTGGGCTGAGCATGTTATGGGCTCTAAGTCCTCCTCCTGTGACAGGACTTGCACATTGGAGCAGAACTGGCCTTTGGTGATAAGCTCAGCAAAGACAGGTAAATTGGCAAGTTGAAATCTCAGGGCAAGCTCTCCCTGTACTTTCAGTGTAAGCATAGTTTATTAACATGGTTTTGAACAGAGCTGATTCCCAAAGAAGACCTCAAGTTTGTGACTAGAGACCAGCACCACATTTAAATTGCAAATACTTAAAAATTGAGAGTTCTTGAAGAACTGTTCCAGGAGGTATCTTAGAGGGGTTTTGGCTTTGCTCTTGGTGACAAGCCTCAGTTCCTGTGAGTCTTTTAAGATTTGGTACATCGGCTAAATCCTTCAAGGGGACTTAAAAGTAAACACATCACTCCATAAACAAAATAGCTAAGATGTCTGGGCTCTACAAAAATATTTACTTTCAAATACAGTTCTTATTTTATTCAGACTTCTTTGGTTTGCTCTGAGTCACTTCTGAAGCAGCTGAAAATAATAGCTGGTCTTGGCTTATATGTAATATGAGAAGGTGAATACTGTCATAGTTATGACAAGTATTAGTGGAAAACAGGTACCGAACTCTTGTGCAAGTGCATCTCCTTTGAGATCTAATGAAAGGAAGCAGTGTTGCACCATGCTGGTTATTGGTCTAAAAGGGGAAAAGAAAAATGAAGTGAGATACTTGCAACAGATAAGAAGTAAAAAGGGAGATTCACATTTTTCACAGAAACTGATTTAACCCCATATATGCAGTAAGGAACAACCTCCTTCACAGACCACTTCATCCCTATGAGCAAACAGTTTTGAACACAGGAAACCATTGATATAGCAGAACACCCCTCAAATGTGGGGAGAGCAAAGCCACCCTTAATTTTTGGAGGGAAGAACACAAGAAATACTCCTGGCAGGTAGTGGGGCAAGACAAGGCTCTTCAAAGTTGCAACAGACAGCTGTGCCGATTTCTCCTGAAAAGCGGTAGGGGCTGGGTTACATCTAGAGCAGATGGCATGGGTAAAGAGAAAGGAGGAGGTCTCCAGAGTGACCTGCTGACATCTTATTTCAAGTGCTTTGCACATGCCTATATACACGCAGACGAGGCAGTGGGAGCAGAGAAGCAAGCACCTGCTAAGCAGGGCAAGGTGGGTTCCCCTCCGTGGGGACACAGCTGAGCATCAGGTCACAGCCCAACAGCATGGGCTCCTCTCTTCCCAGGGCACCGGTTTGGGGAATACTCGCTCAGCTCTACACCAGGAACGTGGTCAGGCTTGAGGTACGCAACTACTGCACAAATTAAAAGCTTGGTAAAAGCCTGATTAGCAGAACATCGTGCAGGGCAATGGATGCTTTTTCCTATCAGCCAGCTGGAGCACCTGAGTCTCGGTGCCATTCACTACATCACAAGTCCTGGACGCTTTTTGGGCACCGGGGTGATGAAGCAAGTGCTCCCCTGGCCCTGAGCTGCTCCCCAGGCACCCTTTCACCTCATCTCCCATTAGTCCTGGATGAACAACGTACATGCTCTGTGCAGAGCCTCCCTGCATTTCTCTGCCAAAACCACACCATCTAGAAATCACTCCAAGGACTCACAGAATTGCTCTCAAGGCATAGTTATTTGTGCTGTACTCGTGATATTCTTGAGCATCCCAATTCCTAAAGCATTTTAAAATACACGGTCCAAAAAGAACCATGCATGCTGATTAAGTGGAGCAGTAGCATTTATTACAGGGATTCTCCTCTATACTATCCCAACTCCACTTATACAACAGGAAGGTACTCTTGCACCTGCTTGACACTGGAAGCAACCAGCAACTCTAAGAAAACCAAAAAGCAGAAATCTGCAAACAGCGGGTATTGCCACCACACTGGTATGAGCAGTACCTTCACCTTCCCTCCTCCACCACTCCCCACCTATCTCAACCTTTTTACTCCTGGGTCTTTGACTTGTTTTCGGCAAATCCCCGCTAAGGCAAACCATCTTCCTGACAGCTGCACCAGCAACACCACCTGGAAATCTCTGACCGCGGGTCTACAGCAACAAGTCCAGAAGAGCGCCTTGCTGAAGGCTGTAGGTCCTTCTGCAACACCACCAGCCACCACCTACCTGGAGGAAGGCACGCAGAGCAAATTCTGGAGCCTCCACTGCTGCCACCCCTGCTCTAAGGCCTTTCCTCCTTACCGAGCTGCTTGAGAACCGCCGGTGGCAGCAAACCTACGCGGCTCCCCTCGCCCAAGGTCACCAGCCCCCTCCATTTGGGGAAGCCCTACACCGATGCCCTTGGCCGAGCGGAGCAGGGACCGACCGCCTGGACCGGTGTACCGGCTCCCCCCCCCCCACCCCCCCGCCCCCCT